ATTGGGGTAAATAATTAATAACAGAACTTTAATTTTTGCATGAACTAATCCTTTAAATATGAGCACACTAAAAACCTGTCATGGTTTTGGCTCCTTTACACACTTTAAAAGCTCTTCATTAAAAAAAGACTTCTGTTTGGAGTAGATATATCAGTAAAATTCACTTTGTAAAACTTTGTCAAAGCAAGGTCCAACTTTTGTGCGATGGAAAAGATTTCATGAATGATGAAGAATCGTCACTGAACCACAGATGACCAGAAAGCAACAAGCATTTCCCAGTAAAAGACAAATATGTCCAAGGCCATGCTGTGAAGGAGAATGAAGAAAGGAGAGCTTATTATGTTTCCCTGGGTGTCCCACGCTTCCTCAGTCTTGTTTTCTGTGTTTTTCCCCCCAAGGAGGATGGCTGTCAGAGCATCTCCTACTTTCTTGTCTTTCTCTCTAAACTTTATAAGCGCTGGCTCATTCACAAAGGTCTGTCAGAGCCAGGGTTATGGTGATGTCAGCTCCATTAATTACTGTCAATCGGAGGAATCCATCTCATAAAGGCTTGTCAGTCTGCGAGCCCAAACCAAAGCCGCAGTAGAATTTTTGGCCAAAGTGCTTCAGCGGCCTTGCGAACTCTGCAAGGCGATGTAAAAAAGGATATTGTGTCAAAGGGAGAAAGTCCCAGTGGGCTTTCCATTTTATGCAAAACATCTCAGCCTTGACATGCAAAAAAACATTTATCACACTCCACTTAGACATGATTTGCTACAGTTTGGGAACTATTTTGTTGGAGAATGATGCATTTAACACCATGTCATCTAATGATATGTTAAGCTGAATACTAGGGTCACTGGGAGGGGCCCGGGGCCACTGTCCACCTGTGGAGTCATGATCTGGTTGCAGTATTTGCTAGAGGTGAATTGTTGGTCTCAGAGAAGCGAGATGAGCAGATAACCTTCCCACTTTTCCTGCTACGCTTCATTAACTGACCAAAGCTGTTCAAGTTCTCATTCTGTCTTTACAATGAAGTTCAAGGCTTGGACAGCTACACTTTAAGATTTTTGTGAAGTTGAAATTAAAACAAAGATTATTAGAGTGTATTTTATATATAGTGATCAGCATATATAAGTTGAACGCTCACAAATCTGTCTTTTAAATAAATTTTTTTTAAAAAGGAAGTTATACAATATTACATATACAGTTGAAGTCAGAATTATTAGCCCCTTCAATTTTTTTCTTCTTTTTAAAAATGTTTTTCAAATGATATTTAACAGAGCAAGGACGTTTTCACAGTATGCCTGATAATATTTTTTTTCTTCTGGAGAAAGTCTTATTTGTTTTATTTTGGCTAGAATAAAATCTTTTTAAATTGTTTAAACACCATTTTAGGGACAATATTATTTGCCCCTTTAAGCTATATTTTTTCTTAATAGTCTACAGAACAAACTATCGTTATACAATAACTTGCCTAATTACTAGGCCCACACGGAATCTGCACGCGCAGAATTCCGCAGATTTTTCCGCAGATTTCTGCAGATTTTTAGCCCATTATTAATTCTGTTTATGTACTTGAGTAAATGTGTAAATCCGAATTTATTCAGTTTTTATTCAGTAATTTATCACTTTTTATTTAATATATTAAGGTTTTAGTTATGATACTCAGTTGGATACTCCCAAAATAATTCCGCAGAAATCCGCAGATTTTTACCAAAATTCTCCGCAGAAATAGCAAAAAACGTCCGCAGATTCCGTCTGGCCCTACTAATTACCCTAACCTGCCTAAAAAACCTAATTAACCTAGTTAAGCCTTTAAATGTCACTTTAAGCTGTATAGGAGTGTCTTGAAAAATGTCTTGTCAAATATTATTTTCAGTCATCATGGCTAAAATAAAATAAATCAGTGATTAGAAATGAGTTATTAAAACTGTTATGATTAGAAATGTGTTGAAAAAATCTGCTCTCCGTTAAACAGAAATTGGCTAAAAAAATTTAGAAGCGGTCTTATAATTCAGGGGGGCTAATAATTCTGACTTCAACTGTATATTAGATTAGTCAGTACTGAAGCCAAATCTGGAGCTTATCTAACAAAATCACTTACAATAACAGTTCAAAACTAGTACATCCAAATTTATGTAAGGGAAAATACAAATTTAAAAAAGAAGAAAAATCAAAAGAAGCAATAAATAAATAAACAAATAAATAAAAAAAATGGAAAATTGGAAAATTTTGTAGAAATTTTGTAGGTTGTAATTTTTTTATGCAACATTTTGCTTGAATTTAACTGTATTATAGTTCAATTTCTAAATGTGTTTGAAGATTAAAATAATATTTTAATAAACATATCTGTTTAATAAATCTGTTTTGTTTAAATGCACCAAAATACATTGCCCATATTCACTGAGAAATGGATGCAAATATTAATTTTTTAAAATAGGGTATACTCAATTATGCTGAGCACTGTATATTTACATTTTGTTGGTGTCCTTCAAAATGTCTTATTTAATTAAATTGTTTAAAGACTACTACACTGAAAAAAAAAAGATTTCTGCAATATTGTTGCAAACAACTTTTTTTGGGTTGAATTTAAGCAAACAAATTAAATTTTGTGTAATGTCGAACTTAATTTGTTTGATTAAATTCAGCTCAAATAAATTCTTTACCAAATTGTTTAAAATTGTTTTCCTTCTTTGAATCATTTTTTTCAGTAAAAAAAAATTAATTATTTACATCAAAAATGAAGGTTCTAAAGCTTTCAAAAATATATATTAATATATTTTAACAGCAATATCAGAAGATCCTTCTTTGTTTTCAAAGAATATTTCAATAACAGCTCTTTTCCCCAAATACTTTGAACAAAATTGTCAAAACAAACCTTTTGTATTAAAAATACATTTGTTTTTATACTTCAAAACTTCGTTATTTTATTTACATGTTTGTAAAGGCTTCTAGTAAAAACTATTTCTTTATCTCAAGAATAAAGGTTCTAAGGCTTTGAAAAAATATTAAAAAAAAGTATATGGAAAAATTCAAAGTATCTTTCAATGAACTGCTCTGTCCCCTAAATGTATACTTTAAACAAAATTAGACCAAAACAAAGTACATTTGGAGTTTGTTTCATGTGTCTGAAACATTCCAGAGCAGTTCACTTTTGGGTTAACACCTTTGAACTGTAATTAGTTTGTCAATTATGTAAACAGATGTGACTTTGAGGCTCCATCTTTATTGGCATATACAAATCATATATACTTTGTTTATTATGCTAAACACAGGTCAAAATCTGTTGACCTGTATAAAACTATTGAAAGCAGCATTGACTCTGTTATGCTATTAATATAAAGTCCTGTATAAAAAACATGAGGTATTTGTGTAAATGTGTTTAAAGAATGATCATTTCCTTCCTTTCCTTTGGCTTAGTCCCTTATTCATCAGGGGTCGCCATAGCAGAATGAACCACCAACTTATGTAGCGAATGCCCTTCCAGCCCCAACCCAGCATTGGGAAACATCCATACACACTCTTTCACGCACATACACCAAGGCCAATTTAGCTTATTCAATTCAGCTATAGCACATGTCTTTGGACTGTGGGGGAAACCATAGCACGCGGAGGAAACCCACATAAACACGAACAGTGACCTTGCTGTGCGGGCACAGTGCTGATCAATTGGTAGAATTTTTTATTTAAAGATTTACTCTGTTGAATTTGTCCATATTTTACCCAGCATTAGGTTGAAACAACTTAACACTTTTTTTATAGTTAACTCCTGTTCGTTCTTCACTGTTACTTTAGTTGTATGTTTTTTTTTTTGTTTTTGAGCAGAATAACAAAAACACCAGGTGAAACCAGAGCACCTGGAAACCCACGCCAACACAGGGAGACCGTGCAAACTTCACACAGAAACTGACCCAGTCGGAGCTCAAACCAGGGACCTTCTTGCTGTGCGGCGACAGTGTGAACCACTGAGCCACCGTGTCACCCTTATCACCGACCAAAAAACAAAACAAAACTAAAACTAAGAACTTACAAATGCTGTTTTTAAACCAAAATTTAAGTCAAATGTTGTGCAATACAAAGTTAGGAAAATATAGCCAAAAATAGTTTAACATTTAACCCAGTTCCACACATTTTGGGTAAAACATTTTTTAAACATAAAAGCCCTATTATGTGATTCTCTTATTTTATTATATTTATAATGCAAAGAATAATAATAAAAAAAGATTATTATTATTATTAGAGTATGCCATGCAAAGCAATGCATCCATCTATGTATTTACATTGTAGTTAAATACTTAGCAAAAAGGGTGTTTATTTCCCTGTAGAATAACTGACTTATTTAGTTATTTAAGTGAGTATCCCACAATAATTAATGTTTCAAAACTTATATAAACAAATGAAAAGAGAAAATCAATATAGGCTAGTTTAGAATGTGTTTACTTTAAAACTCACTTTATTAAGTTGTAATAGGAGTAAACATTATACTCTGCATACCTACATAAGAACTTTGAGTAACAGTTTAATTTAGGTCACAATTTGCGGTATTAACAAATGGTAGTAATGGTTAATAAGCTGTTTAGTAATAGTTAGAAAGGTAGAAGTTGGGTTCAGGTTTTGGGTAGGGATGCAGAATTAAAAATAACATCATATTTTATAACTAATAGACTGTTAATATCTTAATAAAAGGCACACAATATGCCAGTAGTTAAGAACTTGCACTGTTAAATATGTTGAGTTCCAAAACTGTCTACAAGCTGTCTTAATACAAATCAATGATGTTAATTTAATAGTTTTTACAAGTTTAAGTGTATTGAACATAAAACAATTAAGTTATCCCTAAAGAAAATTTAAGAACTGTGTTATTTAAACTTATTGAAAAGGTAGTTTAAACAAGCAGCAAAAGTCATATTTTCAAATGTGAATTAACTAACATGTTAACGAACTTGAATCAATTAATAAAAGCAACGTCACATCACGTCCAGTTTCTGACACGTGGCCTCTTGAGTCTCCGTGAAGCATCTCAGTGTGGAGATACACGCATCATCACTGAGGGAGAGGAGGGACGGGGAGAAAGTTTGGAAACGAGTGAGAGGAGGCAGAAACTGAATGAGAGGGACAGAGCTCAGCGGTCTTGGAGAACAGGAGGATACTCAAGAGGGGGGAAAAATCTCCATCTTGTTCTACTACCGACCGGGGACCGCAGCACTTGCCTGTTTCTCTTCGCATGTATGGCTTGTGGTGTTTGTGAGTGGTAATCTGCTGCTCGTGTGTGAGTGTGTGGAGGTGACGGTTCCTGAACATGCGGCGGCTGAAGGAGACTGTGTTCTGCGCGGCACTGCTGCTGCTTCTTACTATGTGCACCCTAAAGACACATGCAGGTAAAGCAGTCTTAATGAAAACTGAGAAAAAAAAAATGGTTTTAAAGTAGTTTTTCCTCTCAATTAAGTAGCTTATTGGTGCAAATTTGAATCTGAGGTACAAACTTATTTCCTGTGCACTTGTGATGCTGACTCGAGTCAGTACCCCGTATTTAATTAAATGTTTTGTTTTAGAGTGAATCTTGTCGAGTTTTTACAACAAGCTTTTAAAACTAGGGGAAGCTTAAGATAAACTTTGAATATTCATTGTCCTGCTGGTTTGAACTTGTTCGTTGAGTTCAGGATGACTGACAGACGCTAATGCGCTTTATGTTTGCTAAAAACCCGATTTCCAACTCACTCTACTTACAGATTAGATTGTATGTTTGTTTTGAGCGATTTCCTTCGGTGCTTTGCAGCCGTCTTTAGTTTATGATAATAGATTACATCTTATCTAAACAATGCGCATTAGCATTCAAATTATATTAAAATTAGATTTCCCTTAATGTTTTTTTTTTTTTTTTTTTGAATATTGATTTTGGATTTTTGGTTATCAGTTTTTCCTGTTTGTTTTATTCAGGAACAATTTTCTTGTTAAAAAATGCCATCCCCTCTCATGACCCTACTTAGCCCCACCCTTTGCTCATTCATGTGTCAAATGTTGGTCTGCACTTTGTCTGTGCAATCTTTTGTATGTCCAGCAGAAGTCATGTAACATCCATTAAACTAAACCTTAAAGGGATAGTTCACCCAAAAACGAAAAGTTGCTGTTGATTTACTCACCCTTAGGTCCTCTGAGAAGTAGACCATTTCAAGATGTTACATTTTGACTTCTTTTTTCTTGAGTGAAACATTAAAGAGACAGGACCCCCCCCCCCCCCCCCCCAATATTCAATCAATATTTACTCACTCTCAAGTGGTTCCAAACTTCCAAAACACAAAAGGAAATTATTATCAATAAATATAGACATTTTGAAGAAAGATGGAAACCTGTAACATTTAATATCCATAGTAGAAAAAAAATACAATGGAAGTCAATGGTTACAGGTTTTTAACATTCAATATCTTCTTTTGAGTTCAGCATAAGAAAGAAGTTAAAAAATATTTGTTTTTTGTGAAGAGTGAGTAAAATAATGACATAATCTTTATTTTTGGGTGAATTAACCCTTTAAACTAGATTTTTTGCCAACATATTGTGGAAGAGGAGATTCCTCCCAATGTATAATACGCTATATAAATGTAAGGAATTAATATGAATTATTATTATTTTCCTAGGTGGTTCTTAAAGTCAACTGGCAAAACAAAATAATACCTGTAGCTCTTGGTAAATCATTCATGTCTTATAAAGCAAAACAACTGAAATTTATTTACTGCATTATTACTTTGATCCACATCCTCAGAAAATGGTCCAAAAGCTGAATATTCCTGTCACAAAACAGCATATGCACTTGATGTCGTTTGTTTAGAATGGAGAGGAATATGTTGTATTTTTCATCAAAATGCTACTTGTGCTTTTTTTTTTTTTTATGGTATTAATTTTGCTTTATTTTGCATGTATATGTTTGTTTGGCTCTTAAAGAGCCAGTAGCCATTGACCTGCATTTTATGAATCACCAAGGACCACAGTTTCAGCTAAAAATCTTTTGTAATGTTCTGAAGAAAAAAAAAAAAGTCACTAACATCTTGGATGCCCATGGATTTTTTTCTAAAACCACTAAACCACAGGCACTAAAACCTGGTGCTAATACAGCTTTATTAACTATAGAATCAGAATGTACCAAACTAAATAAGAACATGAATTTCAGTGCTTAATTTCAGTACCACTTAAATGCTTTAACATGCATGCCACTGCACTGCCACTGCATTGAAGGCTTTCTAAACAATCTGGAACATTTTTTTTTTCTCATTAAGAACTTTTAATGATGCAAATCCAAGACATCTTTGTAATAATGTTTGTGTCCAATTAGTTTCACATTTTAAATAAAAAAGACAAAAATGAAAGCATTTCCAAAAGCGTATGACTGCAGCCACCACACATTCTCTTATGATAACAGGTCGTCCAACATAAAATGCATTTACAGTATAGTCATCGCTTTATGTTTATGAAAATTTGTCAGAGAGCAATCCTTTTGTAGCTTTATAAAAATAACAACAGTTCAGTCATGATACTATTTTAAAAGTATGGATTTGACAGCAATATCGGAAAAAAAAAACCACGAGTAAATTACAAACAAAAATAAATTTGTCATTGATCAGGTAGGCTTAGGCTATAGTTAACAGTCTAATATGTAGTTGGATTAATCAAGGAAGAGAATCCTCCAGCAGACTGTCGCTTCATGTTTGTGTTTGCTCGTGACTCATGTCGGTTTGCTGTGAAACTGTTTAACGTTGGCTTGAGACATAGGTGAATGAGTGCTTACTGACCTGCTCCAGTAGATTAAAATTCCTCTTGGGCAGTTGGCCAAATCTGCTATTGTACAGGGTAATGTGTATGTCAACATCAAGACCCCAGAATATGGGCAACAAATTAATGTTCTTTATTGGCATTTATGGTTCTGTTGAAAAACATCAACTTTCATGAAACCTTTTCAATGCATAAGTATTCTTTCTTAATGTTAAACAAAGAAAAATATAAGTATAGTTTAAATATTTTTTTTGTGAAATTTTTTGGGGGACCACAATGGATTTCTAATACGCTTTTTTTGGAGACTATTTTAAGTGTAGTAATGGTGCATGGTGCAGTGCATCTAAAATATTTAAGTGAGGCTTGAATGTGTATAAGCATATACTCTTTGTAAACCTGGATAGCTTGAGATTAGCCTAGATAAAAGTGTAATATTTCTTGGTCATTAACCAAGCAAGCAAGTTAATGAGATTTGATTTCTGATCATTTGTACCCTTACATAATCTGGCTTCAACTGAATCTCCAGATGCTCTCTATCATATCAAATCTTTCCGGAAAACATGATCTCCAGGTTTTAAACAAACTTGAACAGTTTGTTGTCTGTCTGTCTGTCTGTCTGTCTGTCTGTCTGTCTGTCTGTCTGTCTGTCTGTCTGTCTATCTATCTATCTATCTATCTATCTATCTATCTATCTATCTATCTGTCTGTCTGTCTGTCTGTCTGTCTGTCTGTCTGTCTGTCTGCTATCTGTCTGTCTGCTATCTATCTATCTATCTATCTATCTATCTGTCTGTCTGTCTGTCTGTCTGTCTGTCTGTCTGTCTGTCTGTCTGTCTGTCTGTCTGTCTGTCTGCCTGGCTGTCTGTCTGTCTGTCTGTCTATCTGCTATCTATCTGTCTGTCTGTCCGTCCGTCCGTCCGTCCGTCCGTCCGTCCGTCCGTCCGTCCGTCCGTCCGTCCGTCCGTCCGTCCGTCCCCAGATAGCAAAATACACTCGGGCCAGTTCCGGCTAGATTGTCGCCTGCCGGAGACTTACCCCTCGGCCCAACTTTGGCTGCCGGACTCGGGCCGGATGCCTGTGGACTCACTGCCCGATTCCGGCCCGAATCAAGCGGGCCAGATGCGGCGGCCGTAAGCGAGCCGACGCTGCGCATCCGCGCCGGAATCGGCGCGAGGGTAATGTGCGCTGCGCCCCGGAGCTGGCGCGACTCTGTATTTATACACCTTATAAAACCTTTTGGTATTACATTGGTACTTGATATATGGTATTACAACCATTTGAATTTATATAACAGCAAACACAGGCTATAATGTAAACACAAAGTGTAAGCACTGCGTTTAACCTTTGAATAAAGTGCAAACTGCATACATATTCTGTAATGAAAATAATCAGACAAATGACAAAATAAATAAATGTTAAACGTTTATTGATTGCAAGAAAAAAAAAATAGTACTAAAATTTTATAAATAATTTTGTAGTGCACAAGAATATCAATATAAAAACAACAATAAAACAACACAATAAAGACACACAGAAAGATTTAAACAAAAAATCTAAATATTACACACAAACACAGATGTTTTTAAAACAACCCTGTTTTCCCAATAGACTTGCATTAAAAATTTGTAAAAAACAGCTAAATTTTATATAAACCTAAATATAGAAACCAATTTAAGATATAGCAAGAAACATCTTAAAAATACCAATGACAATCCGTAAAATATCCAAGTCAAACTTGTAAAAAGTACTGCAGAATTCTGAAGAAACATCTTGAAACATTTTTTAATAAAACATTAAAATAATAATAATAATAAACAAACAAATATATATATATATATATATATATATATATATATATATATATATATATATATATATATATATATATATATAATTGCAGAAGTATAAAGTCAAACTTATTTTTAAATAAACTTGAACAAAATCAATTGCACAAACAGCAAGACATGAGTGAGATGATTATACATTTCATATATATATATACACGTCTTGTGCAATTTTATATTTATAATTTTATTTGTATTACGTTTATTAAAAATGTATCAAGATGTTTCTTCAGAATGTGGCGCACACACACACACATACATACATACATACCATACATGTATACACACACACACATACACACACACACACACACACACACATATATATATATATATACATACATATATATATATATATAAATGCAAATGAAAGAAACAAATTGTTCAAGTATCAGGGAACATCCTAATACACTTAAAATGTTGTTTAAAAAATAAAACAAAATAGTGATGTAAACATTTGACACATTAGCTTTCTCTTCTTTCTTCCTCCATCCCTGTCAGGGGCAAGTTGTAGCTACCTTGTAATGCATTTTTCCACTTCTTTATCAGTGGCGTGGTATGGACATTTGTCCTCACTCCATCTGTGATTAAAAGATAAACAGATAATTAGTAGTGAACAAGTACTAATGTAAAAAAAAAAGAAAAAATTAGGAAAAAAGTAGGCTACCTACGAAGCAAAAAAACTATCAAAAAAAACAAATAAACTTAAAACACTTTGAAATTAGCAAGAGCTTGAACTTACCAGTTTCTTCATTTGTTCGGGCTGCTCCTTT